TTTTTTTTTTTTTTTTTTAATTTGAGTTGGACGCTTTGAGTGCCTGACGGTGCATGGCCCTGAAGTCCAACACCCCTTGGCCATTACAGACGGGGACGGGGCTCCCCAGCGCGGGTGCCAAAATAGAGAGGGGCCATCACGGCACCTTCAAGCCACCCCCAAAGACAGTCTGTCACTCACTACGCCAAGACGGTTAAACCAAGTACCACGTGCCCATATCGACGGCCTTAAAAATTGCAACTCCGGCCGCAGGAAGCCTCCCGGGGCAGCTATGATTGGGTGACCGGGAGAGGCCTATGGCTCCAAACTAGGCACTATTATCCTCGTGCGGGGGTGGGCGTGTTCATTCTTACCCAGGATGAAACCAGTCTGAGAGCCTGAGTTCTTCTGCGGGAGGCCTGCGAGCGAAGGGAAAACCGAGTTATTATAAGTCACCCATCTGTTCAGCAAATATTTACGGAGCTCCCGTGGCGTGGTGGGTGCCGTCCGGCACTGGTTCCACGGCTGTGGCCCTACAGCCTTCACACTGCCCTGGGGGAGCTGAGGAGGCGACCAGTGGCCCCCAGGCTTAGGGGCTGCCGGTGGGGACAGGCTCTGGGTATGTAAGTGGTCCATCCGACCCGATTTGGGGGTCAGGTGAGCCACGCAGAGAGGAGTTATCTCCGCGCGTCTGGAAGGGGACACGTGGTCAGGAAGAGGGGCAGGGCGAGGAGGCGATGGCCACAGTGGGAAGGCAAGAAAGGGCTTGTCCGTGTGTTGCTGCCTTGTGCGGATTCAGCGCCCTCGTCCCCCGCGGAGTGGCTTTGCCGTGTTAGTGTGAACGGGCTGGAGAAGGAATCAGTTGTTGTCTTTGGTTTTGATCTAAGTACGTGATTCACCTCGAGTTCTGTGGTGTTTTAACGAGCACATTAGGTGGCTTGCTCCCGTAGTGCTGGGACGTGCTGTCCGTAAGGGAAGAAGCTCGAGAGGGCACCCCAATTTCATTATCGGACTCTCCAGGATCAGACTGTCAAAATCCAGACGGCCAGTGCCGAGCTGCACTAAAACCACAAAGCGACAAACGGCCAACTCACTACAAAGTGGCCTTTCTTTTAGAATGTCGGTGTCACGGGCTCCTGGGGTCGTACCGAGCGTTGGAGGAGTGGAAGACGCGGTTGGTTGAGGAGGGGGTCCTGACCTAAAGACACCACCACCCCGGAGAGAGGGGCCAACGCACGGCGGAGCCGGCCTCGTCCCCGGTGGGCGGGGGAGGGCCTGAGCCCACGGGACGCAGGGAAGGGCGCCTGGCTCCCTGCCGCCCCCCGTCCCCGCCCGGTCTGGCCCGACCACCCACGCTGTGTGCCTACACACCCAGCTGATTGCAATGCGGCCGACTTTACGGACCCCACAAACCTGCACTGGCGTCTTCTAATCACCGAGCAGCAAACTGTCACACGGACGTGTGGTCCTCCTGGCTTCCCCACGGGCTCCAGGGACAACAAAGCTTGCGATGCGGGACTGTCATCTCTGTCCTGCTCCCTGAACACCCCTCTCCTTGGACCTGCCCCCACCACACACACACATACACACACACACACACACACACACACACACGCCTAACGGAGACGCACCCTGTGCAGAATATTCCCGAGCTGGTAGGCAAGAAAGCTGACTTTCTGGATGCCTCTGGGACCTTTCTGTCTCTGGTTTTCCATCCCTTCTGGCTTGATCACCACTGGAACCGCCTGGCTATTAATCTGCAGGGTCTTTTTTTTTTTTTTTTTTTTTTTTTGGTGAGAAAGAGTGAGTGTGCGCAGGGGAGGGGCAGAGAGCAAGCGAGCGAGACAGAATCCCAAGCAGGATCCACACGGTCAGTGCAGAGCCCAACGTAGTGCTCGAACCCACGAACCATGAGATCATGACCTGAGCCTAAATCAAGAGTCGGACGCTTCACCGACTGAGCCCCCAGGCGCCTGTGGGTCTTTATACAACAAAGCTTCTGGCCACGAGATGCCCCTTCTGGAGGGAGGTTTTCCAGACAAGATACAGGACCACCCCCCCCACCCCCGCCATGTGAGTTTAACATACACTGCATGGCCTTTTCAGATTGGCTTCCTGTTCTTTGTGACCCTCATTTAAGGCTCACCCGTGTGTTCGTGGCTCCGTGGCTCATCTCTTTTTAGTGTCGCATAACATCGCCTGGTCTGGATGCACCGCACTTTATCCGCTCACCCCTGCAGGGCATCTCGGTCGCTTTAATTCTCAGTAACTGCGAATAAAGCTGCTATAAACACCTTGTGTCGGTTGTTTGTGGACACAGTGTTGAGACCACTTGGATAAATTCTCAGGAGCATGATTGCTAGGTAATTGGAGAGACTGTGTTTAGGTCTGGAAGAAGCCGCCAGACGGTCCTCAGTGTGGCTGCCCCGTGTTGCGTGGCCCCTGCCGTGAACGAGAATCCCGCTGCCCCGCGTCCTCGCCGGTGCATGTGTTGCTGGGTTCGGGATTCGGGTCGTTCTCACGGGCGTGTGGCGGGGGCTCCTTGTTTGATCTGCAATTGTGTCGTGACACACGATGTGCCCGTCTGCTCCCTGTGTAGCTTCTTGGGTGAGCTGTCCTTTCGGATTTGCCGTTTTAATTAGTTGTTTCCTTGTTGTTGAGCTGTAAGAGTTCTTTGCATATTTTGGACACAAGCCTTTTATCAGATGTGCGTTTTGTGAGGGCTTCATGTTTAAACATGTTCTTTCTCACAATATGATGCCTTTCCAATAGCTCGTGGGGAGAGAGCCCTGCTCCTGAGGCCGTCGTGAGGAGTGGGGAGGGGTCGAGGATCGGGAGAGAGGCGCCCCCTGGGCCACGCCTGCCGCTGTGGCTCGGACGCCGATCATCGTGGACACAGGCTGGGACTCTTTGTCTGGAAGAGCAGCCCCGTGCTATCGTCGGCCTTGCTTCCCTTTTCCATCATGACTTTTATTGTGCAAACTCCCGATGGGCGTCTGCCTCAAGCCTCTGGACCGTCTGCCTCCCCTCCGTCAAGAATGGAAAAGCTCCCGGGAGCAGGTGCTTGGGGTCAACGCTGCTCCCTCAGAAACAACCCTTAGCCATCTCACGGTGCTTCGTCCCACGGAGGGAAGGGAACTTTCCAGAGTGTTGTCAACGTCTGGCCAAAACCCAGCACCCCACCCCATCTGTGCCAGTCACTACGGGTTGTGATTCCCTGGCATCTATTTACCTGAGACGATGCTCCAGCAGCAGGAAGGAAAACACACATGAAACCAGCACCACAATCTTTCTCTTCAAATTCATCGTCTCCTGGGCGAAAAAGGAGAAGAGGAGGAGATGTCAGATAGTCAACATTCACACGCCTTTGCCACGTGCAACCATGGTTTACAACGTCTAATCTGCAGACATGGGGACACCAACCACAGCCCCTGCTTCCAGAACGCTCGGCCAGCAGCACCAGGCCGGCCGGGGTGGGGGCGGGGGGCTCTGTCCTCTCGCAGCTCCTCGGGGCGCCGGGTGCCCCCCCCCGGGACCGAGTGCAGCGGCCGTGGTCCTCCTCGATTGCTCAGCGAATGCCACCCGCGTGGCAGAAAAGAGACGCGTGAAATCTCCCCCACGTCACGGCTGGGAAAGTAAAGCAAGGTCACGAGAGGAAGTCTTCCTGAACTAGGAGGCGTGGTGTGTCCCCGGAGTAGAACTCTTGTTCTTTTTTCTCGCACAGATAGTAGGATGGCTCATTTGTCCCAAGACTAAATGGGGGTTTAAACAAAAACTACGAGCTCCCGCGAAGGTCGGTGCTTGTAGACAGGGATTAAAGCCCAAAGCGTAGGCCCTACATTGAAACACGGAGCTCGGCTCCAGCCAGCCCCCCGAGCTCACACTGGAAGGTTTACGCGGGGTTTCTGTTCACACGTCTGGAGGGTTACGTGGCCGAAGCAGAGCGGAGGCCTCTGATGCCTCACTTCTGAGCGCTCAGTTAACGGGCAAGAGGCTCTCGATCCGCGCTGAGCAGCTCAGTCGCCACCAGCCACGTGCGGCTGCTCTGACCTCAGCTGTCCCCCGAGTGCACAAAACACACTGAAGGCAGACGCAGGGGGAAAGAAAGGAAGTAAGGGATCTCCTTAATAATGTCACATTGGTACGATCTTGAAATTATAATAGGCTGGCTCTACCGAACTAAGTGCCGATATGCTGTGAAAATTAATCCACTTGTTCCTTTTACCTTTGACAACGTGGCCACTAGAAAAGTGGATGCTGCAAATGCTGTTCTTCCGCCAGACGGTCCGCTTGGACAGCACCGCCCTGGACACGGCTTTCATGCCCGTGACGGGCAACGGGCCACCGCTCGAATTCAAGGGCGTCAGAGATGCCAGGTAGAGGGGGACGGAGGGGTCTCTCTAGCATGTGCCCCGGTGACACCGCTCCAAGCAGGTGCCACTGTTACCACAACCCCTCGAGTTTTTCCACACCCCCCCCAAAAGGGTCCCTGTACCTCGGCCAGGAGGATGGAAGAGCCCAGGTGGGTGTTTCCCAAGCATTCTGTCTCCGGGTCTTTGTGAAATCACAGGCGGGACCCTGTGCCCTGCTCTCGGGGATGGTCAGCCTGCCGTGGATGGTGACGTCGGCGGACCCTTTGATGATGCGGACGTCAGGAAGTCACAGTCATAATGACGCACCTGCCAGCGGGGGCTTCTCACGGTTGCCAGACGACGGGACCTTGTCCCATCCGAAAGGCAGAGGATATTTCTGAGTGCTCCTTTGCCTTTTGCTTCCTCCGTTTTCCCTCCTCATTCTCTAGGGACCAACCCTTACCCACCGCGGGGTGTCCTGAATGGTGCGTGTGCTCACCCACACGGCAGAAAGAGCGTGCCCGCTTCTCTTTCTTCGTCCTGCAGGTGACGTCCACCCCAGCCCAGGAGCGCGTCCCTTGTGCTCCCCAGCAAGCCTATGCAGGACTCCCCTCTCCGACCACAGAGGTGACACGTTCCTGTGCCGTGCGGCCGGTCAGGTCCACTAGCGAACAACGAAATCACAGTCACGCGTGACCCCTGCGTCCTGATCTGTGGTCGTAACATGCGTCTTCCTTTACCCTCCCCTTTGGAAATAAAGGCGTTGTTATTACTGGGAAAGTAGCACGTATGTGTGGCGTCTCCACTCCCCGGGGCTGCGTAACAACTCGTCACCGCAGAGTCGTGTGCCCGCACAGCAGAGGGGGCCCGAAGTGCGGGAAGCAGATGTGGGCACGGCGTGCTCTCCGGCCTCGGTGCAGGTGGGGGTCCCCGGCGCCCCCCCCCCCGCCCCACTCACAGGCTCCTGACTCCGCCCTCCCGTGGAAGCTTCTCCCGTGTGCCCGAGCTTCCCCGTGGCACCCCCGACTGCTCACGCCTGTCTCTGCGCACTCTGCCTCTGGGCGGCCAGCCTGGCGTTCTCAGAAGACCCGGGGCAGGGGCCTGCCCGTCCCCCAGGAGAGGCGCCGTCCGGCGCCCGTCCCCGGAGAGCCTGACCTGGGTGAGCCTGCTTCTCCCAGCAGCCCCGGCTGGCCTAGAACACGGATCCCCCCTCTCCCTCCACCGGCCCCCGTGACACTGCCTTCACCTGAAAGTCAAGACCAGCTTTGGCTCGTTTTATGTTTTCTCCCAATTTTTCCGTTCGAGCAGGTGCTGAGTTCTGTGCTAAGAGAAATTTGACTGCGAAGAAAAGCAGGAGACCGAGCTGCACTTGAGGGCGTGCGCTCGTGTGTGAGTGCGGGTATGTGGGTGTGCACGTGTGTGATGGTGTGTGCGTGCGTGTGTGTGTGTGAGCACGTCTGTGCCCGTGACCGTCCAGTGTCTGCGGAGCGGAATGTCGATGGCCGTGTCCAGAGGCGGAGGCGGCCCGGGAAGACAAGGGCAGTGGGCAGAGGCTGAGGCCGCGGGGGGCCGGGTCAGGCAGAGGCTGAGGCCGCAGGGGGCCGGGTCTGGGTGAGGGGAGGCTTCTCTCGTAGAGGGGAACCCGGCACATTCCACCCGCCAGCGTCCCCCCCATCTTCAAGGGGGCTACAGGTCCCCGAGCCAAGGGTCAGAGGGAGTCGCCGTCATGAACCGAACGCACCCGCCCCGCCCTCGCACTGCCTCGTGTCCCCGCCTGGCCTTTGCTCAGTGATGGAAGGACTCGTACCTGAGACCACGCCGTGGGGGCAGCACCTTCTCAGAGGAGTCCCTGAGACTGTGGCTGCGGGACTCACCCGGTTTAGGGAATCCCGACTAAGCCCCTCCTCCGACGACAGCCGGACTTAACATCCTTTAGATCACTTTGTACCTGCCGAGGGACCGAGGGAGGCCGGGTTTGGTCGGAGGGAGAAGTCGCCGCCTCGGGGGTGAATCAGACAGGGAAGGGCACCCCTGGGAACCGGAGCCCGATAACGAACAACGAAGCGGAATGGGGGGCGGGGCGGGGACCCGTTACTTCGGGTGCCGTGTTCCAGAAGCCACACACCTGAACAGGACAGAAGCGTGGAGACGGAACCGGCCGTAACGGGGGACGGCCAGGGAGGGGGCCCTTCCCCACGAGGGCAGGCAGGCCCCGGTCGCCACCACCACCACCTGCCTGGTCTGCCTCCCCCTCTGCCAGGAGACCCGGCAGGTGCTCAGTGAAACAAAAGTAGCCCATCAGTGCATACGCTGAGACCTGGTGTTTTACACAGGATCGGGGGTCCCACGTCCTGCTCAGCCCCGGCCCCCGACCACCAGCCAGCCTTGTGCCCGCACGCAGCACAGGGAGACGGGGGGCCTTCCACCACTGCTCTGGACCCTGGCCAGGAGGGGGCAGGGTAGGGGTCAGGCCCACATCCGTCCGAACCCCCCTCTCTGTTCTCCAGACCCCAAACCTCAAAACCTCTGTCTCGTTCCGGCCCCTCTCCTGGGAGTCGGCACTTCCTGGGCTCCGTGGACCTTCACTCCGAGTCCACGGCCGCATCGTCACGGCCGGGACGGCCGCACGGCGCCCTGCGTGCTTAGCTGCACGGGCACGACGATGCTCTCGGGCCCAGACACGTAGGCCGGGCGGGGATGGGAACTGCAGGGCCGTCTGCTGCCCAGCCCCCCGGGGCGCAGAGAGGCCAGCGAGGCCCCAGCACCATCGGGGCCTCTGCAGCCCGCGGGGGCTCCGGCCCAGGGTGCCTATCGCCCACCCTGCCCGACCCGACCTCCCTCTGCGGCCTCTGACCTGGCTGGACACTCCGTCCAGGCGGACTCCAGGGTGCTCCCGTCATAGGCTCAAGGACATGCATGAGGGGCGGGGGTGGGTGGCAGCGGAGGCGGCCTTTGGCTGTGTTCCCGGCACTCGGAGGAAGGGTGGGGAGGACAGGCTGTGCTGGGCACAGAGGGGTGGCAACCGTGGAGCAGAAAGGGGTATAAAGGCAGTGGGCCGCAGGTGAGGCCCCCACCAGAGGCCATGGCTCTCTTCCTGCTGACCCTGGGGCTGAGCCTCGTCTCCGCCCAGGAGCTCAACCCCCAGGCCATTGTGCAGAAGAACTATAACATGGCCAAGGTGGGTCTGCGGTCCGAGTCTGGGCCTTTCCCGGGGGCTGGGCTGCGGGGCGTCTGTCCTCCCTCCATCCAGGGTCTTTGACCTGTGACCGGGCCGCTGCTCCTGGGGGCCTGCTTCTCCTCCCCCAGCTGAGAGGGCAGGGGGAGGTCTCTGGGAGGAGAGGGGCGGGTCTCTGGGAGGACGGACGTGTCCCTGGAAAGGCAGAGGGGGACCTCGGAGGACAGGGGCTGTCCCCAGGAGGGCAGAGGGGTCCTTGGGAGGATGGGGGCGTCCCTGGGAGGGCAGAGGGAGTCCCTGAGAGGATGGGGGGGGCTCTGGGAGGGCAGAGGGGGAGGCCATACACCCAGGGCCTGCAGGAAAGAGTTGCCAAGAAGCCCCAGGGCCATACCACACGGGCTCCTCGTGCGTCTGCGGGGCCTCGCCTGCAGGTTTCAGGGATCTGGTATCCGGTGTCCATGGCCTCCGACGACATAAAGCGGATCGAGGAAAACGGGGACCTGAGGGTCTTCATCTGGAACATCGAGAGCTTGGAGGACGGGCGTCTGAGATTCCATTTCCGCACCATGTGCGTGCTGACCGAACCGGCCGCACCCGTATCGCGGGAGAGAAGGCCGCGCCCGGGGCCGGGTGGGGGCTGAGGGAGGCCGCCCAGCTCACGCCCCGCTGGTTCGCAGGGTGCACGGGGAGTGCGAACACGTGGCCATGGTCTGCGAGAAGGCGGAGAGGGACGGGGAGCACAGCATCAGCCGTAAGCGGAGGCGGGCGCTGCCCCGTCCGTCTGGCGGCAAAGCGCCGCGTCTCCTCGGGCCCTCGGCCCCCGCCCGGGGCCCTAGGGGGGCAGGTGCGCCAGCCCGGGGCCGGGGGAGGGGGCGCACGCCGCTGCCACCCACGCTGCCCGGGGACCCCCGCCCGGAGTGACACCGCTCCCCCCGCCGAGGCCCACCGGCCCACCGTCCGCACCCACGGCCGCTCAGCACGCCCGGCCCACGAGCCGTGGGTG